GGAATGAGGTTTCCAAAGTTCGCTGGAGTGGCTGTTCAGTGGTTACCTGTTTGGTGGAAAGAATCCCCAGCGAAGAGACAGATGGCACCGAGGAAGACGAAAGAAAACATTCTGAAAACACCACGCATAGTCCATCAGCCAGGACAGCCAAAGGCGTTGCTGGGTTACTGCACATTGCTAATATAGGTATGTACATTCCACACCAGGGTTTTTTTTAGTTTTTTGTTTTTTTTCTCCACCCAGTAAAAAGAAAAAATAAGCTAAGCTAGAGATTTGTTGGCAGTAGATATCTGGAGATAAAAAGCAGCAATCGCTTTAACTTGACAATGTGAACGAGACATGGTAAATTCCCCTGCAACTGATACTGGTATCAGACAATAAGTATTAAGCTTATTAAGATAAGTAGCTTCAATATGATATTTGATTTAAAGCAGTAAAGTCAGTTTACTGATGTGAAAGACACAGTTAGGAAGCATTCCGTAATACACAAGCGACCTCTGTAAGAGCAGTAAGGACTTTTTTTTTTTTAAATCGAGAGGTTTAAGATGTCATCATTTTAGGGCAGGCAGATCTAAAATCTTCTGATTTTAGATCTTAAATCCCTTGTGTCAATGAAACATGCATAAGAGATTCCTCTTATCCATTTGTTTCATTGAGACTAAGTGCCACCACATTTTGCTACCAGCAAACTGAAAACATGATCTGTAGGCGTCACCTGAATTATTAATTTCTGAAATAGGAATTGGTTGCTGTTTACTGTTATGGAAGATCTATTCAGACTTGTTTCCTTATGAAGTAGAACCCTGCTTTGCCTTTCTATAGCGTAGAAAATCAGTTATTAATTACAATCAGAAACACTGATACATTCCTAATGTTTCTCCACCCAGCCCTGCTGCAGGAAACACCAGACAAAGCTCTTGCAGTTCTTCGCAGCTCATCGTATCTTCCCACTTGGTGATTTTTGTTACCAGTTAATTTCTCTTGTGTACATAAGACTGCTGTAAGATTACAAGCAAGACATTTGCTTTCCCATAAAGGAGTACACAAGCAGAATCATATTAAAAAAAAAGCTGTTAGGTGAATAGTTTCAAATGGATTTGTGTCTACGGTTATATTCTCTAGTGTCCTCCAGCCTCTGCTTGAAGCACATGCCCAGCACTATAGTAGTTTTCTATCGCTCTCCCTAGCATTAGTAAGGAGTGTGCTAACACTGCAACTTTCCATCAACAGGGGCACTCTTTCCTCCTCAGATGAGTGTATTCACAAAACTTGTAAGACTTCTTCATATTTCTCCATATGAAATTTGACTGAAATTAATCAAGACAGTCAAAGATCAGTAGTGAAAGGGAAAACCATTTGAGAGGGTAGGGAAAGGGAAAACCATTTGAGAGGCTTTATTTTTTTTAAGAGGCAAAAAAAATTATCATATTCCACATTTGAAAAAACTGATGCCAGATTTAAAAAAAAAAAAGAATATTTTTGCTTAACAATAATATGCAATCCTCTGCCAGTCTGAGGAACATTATAAACCAACCTGAGCACGCACTGACACTGAACGAAGTAACTGTGGTCTGTCCCCTCTCCTCCCCCTTCCTCTCCTCCATTCTCCCAACGCTTGTTGCTATAGCCATACTTTCTCTGCCTCAAACAAGCATTTTTGCAGCTACCTGAACTTTACTGTTACGGGTATCAAAACTGGTAGCTTAGCACTAGCTCAGATAGTCTTGCAGGAGATGCAGTCACACCTTTAACAGAAAACAGTATTAACTCACATAAAGGTTGTAATGTTTTCAGATGCATTTGTTTTCACCTTATTGGGGAAGACACCCATTTTTATTACAGTGAGCTTGAGAGGTAAGATGAAGGTAAGAAAATTTGGTAGAGCATTCACCCAACCTAAGTTTTCTGGTTCTAGTTACCTGCCTCCATCCTTCCCTCCCAGGTGAGGTTTTATGCTGGCTGCAATTAAAGATACTGTAAACTCAAGCTCTGCTAATCAGAGATACTTTAAGTCTTTTATGATTAAAGTCCACATTTTTGAACCACTGCTAAATACACATTTATTTAATCTAATACACTTAATTTTCCACCAAATATATCACATCAAAGAAAAAGATTTGCACGACATCAAGCTTCATTTTCCTCCCAGGAACGTGTTCTTACAGAAGTATAGACATGTTCCTTCACACCAGGTAAGCAACTGAAGAGGATGGTCAGATATGCGGAGCAGGAGATGGTGGCATTGGCCAGCTTTGTCTTCTTCATTTAGTCCCACATTGATAGGTCAGCTAGTTTTTGTCAATTCTTCTGCCCTGTCTCTGGTTTGCAGACAAGAGACTTGCATCCAAAAGTGACTAGATTTTACTCTTTCTTGCAGTTAAATTGTTCCACATGGGTTTTATTACGCCCTTTGTTAGGCTTACACCTGGTGGTCTTACTCAGAGGGTTCAAAGGAAATTTTAGACAATATTCTAGCTCTCCATGGAAATCAGAGGAAGGAGGAGGGAGCAAGCACAAGGAAACATTCACACAGCATAACTTAAGGCATCTACATTCTATAACCAGTAAAAAAGGTGTGTCTTTCAGTTTGATATTCTGAATCACCTTCTAGAGAAATCTGCCTTCACACAGACTACACTTAGCTGTCTCCTACACGAGACAATGCCGATACTGCCCAAGAAATACAACTACTGTGTAAGCAGTGCCTACTTATAAACACTTTTCAGAGATCTGTGCCCTAGTCTAGCCAGATGATATTAAAATTACAATATAAATGAACACACTGCAGCCAGCTTAGTGTCTGGAAAGCTACCATCCCACTCAAGTTCCTTCTGCAATACATCACTTTTGCCCTCATGCCAACACACGGGAACAGACCGATCACCTCCCCTAACACAAAAAATGGTCTTCTCCCAGCGTAGCCATAGAGGATCTCAAATACACCACTTTGTTTCAGAGCTGCTTTCCTTTATGCTCTGCATTCAAGTCTGACAAGACTAGTCACCTGCAGTGCTGCAATTTCTAACACTTTTCATTCTCACCCTGCAGATTTCAAAAGTGTTGAGGGAAAGGTAAAGTACCTATTCCCACCAAAGGAAAGAAGTTAGTCCTCAACTTCCCAGGATGACTGTGAGAACTCTTGCTCCCTTGGGTCCCTTAACCGAGGAAGAGATTTAAGGCATCATGTTAGTAAACTAAATTCTACATGATGTCCAAATTATTTTCAGGTACTAGAAATTTTATACTGCTAAAAATAGTCTGAACCTGAAACTTCTTGATGAGTTCATTCAGCCGTAATATTTTGAAAGCACACACTCTCCTAGGGAAAAAAAAAGTATTTGAGAAAAATATGCACTCTTGCTTAGATAACAGTCAAGGTGCAACATTTCAGACTGCACTTTAAGCTGAATGAAATGTTGCTTAAGACTCCTCATAAGAGTTTAGTTGCAGTCAGAAAAATAAGATTCTGGAATAGTCTTCTGAATGGGAGGGAAAAAAACAACACAGAAAACTTTCATGCAAAATAGAGCCAGATTCATTGATGGACATACTGTTGCCTGTGGCAGTAGATAATTGAACTATGACCTCAGTTTTTTTCCCCAGTCCTTCGCAAAAGACTAACTCTTAATGTAACAGCAGTATCTTAAAAAAAAAATCAGTATGCTATAATGCAAATATCTTATTTCAATTTTAGGTAATGCACATGCAGTCTTATGTAAAAATGGAAAGAGTCACTGCCTCTCAAAAGAGCACAGCACTTCTAACGTAAGCGAGAGAGAACGCATACTTCAGAATGGTGGAAACATCAGCATTAATGAACCAGACGGATTAGTAGAGGGGTACCTGAGAACTACAAGGGGTCTTGGACATCACGGAGATCCAGTACTGAAAAGATCTGTTATACCTGTACCTCATACTGTATCTGTCCCTATTGATGATACTTGTCAGTTTCTTATTTTAGCTTCTAATGGGCTTTGGGAGGTTTTGGATTACAATGAAGTACTTGCATTAACTTTAACAACATTCACTCGTTATTTGAGAATGTATGAAAGTGTTCAACAAAACGGAACTTCTCCATATGTGTGTCAGTATTTGATGCCCCTCACTGAAGACAACTTAAATGACTCAAAGGCTATTAAAGATCTGCAAAATGGAATAGAGATACTGTATTCCAATACGGACATTTTTCTCACTGACTCAAAAGGCAACCTGAAACAAAATAAGCCAAAATGTTCTAGGAGGAACTATTTGCAAACTGAAGATGGAGTTCCTAAGGAAACTGATGACCACAAAAATCAAGCTGATCCAGAACTGTCTGTTTTCAGTAACAATGAAGTAAATTCACAGAACAGAGAAATAAAAGAGTCCAACTCTAGCACAAAAGGTAGCTCTGAAGAACTGAAACGGTTTCAGGACAGAAAAGTTTATCTATGCAACAGTTTTCAGCCACAGTCACAGACTGCAGTGCAAGAAGAAACAGACACTGACACTTTCTGTGCCAGAGGTCCAAGTTGCACCCATAAACAGCTGCCAGAGAATGTACTGGCAATAGGGTCTAAAGACATGAAACAGCCCCCAAAAGATATAAAAGCATGCCTATCTAATTATGACTCAGGTCTACAACTCGCAGAAAAAATAGACTGCAAGATATTTTGTGACAAACTTGCCAGTTATGCTGGTCAAGAACTGCTAAAGACTGTATCACCAGTGGGTTCTAAACCACTACCACAGTCTGAAGAGGACACAAAAATGTACCCGTCCAATTGCAAATCACAAACTGCAGGAAGAGGCAGAGTCACCGCTGAGACACTCTATGACAACGCAGCAAGCTACGTTAGTGAACAGCTGGTAAAGACTGCATTAGCTGCAGGTTCAAGAGATAATATTACTGTTTTGATTGTACTTCTAAATGGATGCAATAAGATACCCAATTACCTCAATATTTAAAAATTTATCCTAGGATAACTGGAGTGCCACAGTACATATAGTACAAGCTTATATTTAGCTGTGTCATGAATTTACTTGTAATCATCTTCAATGCTGACCCATATAGTAAATCAGACATCTTGTCTGGAACTGTGCAAATGCAATAAAACCTTCTGAAACTCTCAGTAAGAAACAGTAATCAAAAATTTTTTTTTTCTTTTAAACCACTTTATTCAAACCTGAGCACCTCAATATAAAACTAAACACTGGTGAACTGTCATTTTCCTTGCTAGACCCAGATTACTGCAAATTTAAAATCTGCACAAGTAAGTTTCTGCTATCAGTTCAACATTTAAATAGACTAATTCATCTCTTCTGACACACTTGGTAGATTTCATATAATGAAAATAACTAAAAGAATTAGTGCAATATACTGGACAGATCAAAATAAAACGTACTTTGGAAAACAAAGTTGCAAAGTTCATTACTGACAGACAGCAATACTTATGTTACAGATACAGGAGCATCATTTATTACTGTTCTAGCCATAAAGGAAGAACTTTGAACCCCCTTTGATTAGAGAGGAAAAAAGTTAGCTTTAAGTAACTGTACATTCTGTATACCTTTAAGCAACTCTTAAATATTACAGAAAGTATTAAACAAATGTAGACTACAATGCAGAGTACCTATTTACAGTACATTAATATCCAAATTTAAAATCAAGTTGGATGTACATAATCGTTAGTGCACTATTTTTTTCCTTAGGGGAAAAACAAACTGTAATGGCCAGCAATGATCAAAAACAAGAAAGAAGTTACAGACACCAAGTTTGTTGTGATTTTACTTGAAGAGCTCTTACAGTTTGTAGAGGAAAAAAAAACCCCTAAGTCGTAAAGTTGAATTTACTGGTCTGTACCCTCTGAACAGATTAGAAATGAAGTTAAACTTGATTTATCACTAATTCCTTTAGATAACTAACTGGGCTGATAGAATTTACATACAGTGTACCAACTAAAACTCCACTTTCCCGCAAGCATAGGGTTCTTAAAATTGTTAATGCAAGTATTATCTGTAATTAAATTATTAAACTATGGAATGTATAACTAAACAGTAGATACCCGCAGAAACAACTGGTTGCATCAATACTGTGAATAAGTTTAAGTAATTTTTAGACCCTGTTTCTAAAAAGGTTTTAAAGCACAATTGAGAATTATGAAAAGTCCCAATTCTATTTATTATAACAGTAATCAGTATTGAGGCTACAGGAACTGGCCAATTAGGTCCACGAAAAGTAGTTCTTTTACACCCCTAATGGTAAGTGATTTTTAAACCTTTCAACTGAAGGAAGTTTATTCCGCTTCCATCTCTCCTCTACTGCTGAAACATTACAGCCAGTGGTGGATACATGCATGTTAAAATTTTAGGTCAAAAGAAAACTCTGTATCATGAACTTGACTATTATCGTAAGTCTCTTCGCTGTTTGGAAGATGTACTGGGCCAGGTTAAGCACTCCAATTCCATGGTTATTAACAGTTAGGAAGCAGAAGAATATTCAGAACAGTTTAAAGCAATTGATGTTTTAGTTACTACAACATTGACTCTTGGGTGGTTGCGTGGGTTCAGTAAGGTCTACTCCTCTTCCTCTAGCAGAGCTGGCTCCTGCATTCTGTGGTTCATTCTTAGGCAATTTTTTTGCTATAAAATCAACAAGAAATAAGAGTCAAAACTGAGATTGTACTAAGATTAAATCACCTGAGTACACAAACAGTCAACACTAACTACTCTATAAGCATATCAATATAATCACTGTAAAATCTGATTTGATTCAGTGCATTGGTAATAAAAGAAGCTAAGACACTTAACTTCTTAATCATTAACATCATCTATGATTTTCAAGAGTGAAATGCGTTAGTAACTTGAGCAGTAAAATGTATCTGCACAGGTATGCTATGCCAGTAAATGGTGGCTCTTGGGGGAATCCACCTACACAGAATAGGCTTTAAGATCAGGATGTTAGTGCTAAAAGACACAGAAAGAATGAAAAGGCACAAAACCCAGAAATGGGTCAAACTACTGCCCAGCTATCTAGCCAGAATAAGTATTTGCATACAACATATAAAACAGCCCTCAGCACTAGATCAAGTCTCTCCTCTTTTTTTTCAAGCTGTCTCTTCTCTCCAGCTCTTATGAGTCAACTGACTGTGACAATTTCTTTGTTGTCCTTCTAGCTCCAGGTTATCTCCTCAGTCCTGACATGAAAAATAAGGGTGACAAATGTTACCCTTCTGAGCAGTAGCTCCTCCTAGGAATGTTCTGATGGAGAGAAAGCTAAGTTCTACATAAAAGGACTTCTGTGGGGCTGTCTTGCCCACGTTAACCAAGACCCAACAACCATCCCTGTTCTACAGTTTGGCTGCATGCTTCGACTCCAAAGTAATTACTTTGGCCAGCTTTTTAAAGAACAACTTTTCCTAAAAGGAATGAAATGCAAGTATAACAGCCAGAAAACCAGCAGAGTACACATCAACAAGATGTGCTGTGGTGCTAGATAATCTCGGGGGCCTAGGCAATCTCATCTAGGCTCCCTTTCCCACAAAAGGTTGGACCACATGGTCTTTTAAGGTCCCTTCCAACTTGGGCTGTTCTATGATTCTGTGATAGAACCCAAGAGTTCACGTGGTACTAAGCTGTCGAGACAGTATAAAGGGACAAAGCACCAGTAGAAAAATGCCTTCAGAGCACTGTCGTTTTGAATTCTAGATACATTCTAGAACTATAATTTAAGGTGAATTTTTTTAACTGGAAGTTCTGAATGAGCTCTAAAGCAGTCAATTTACACGCAGCTGTAGCTTGCATCCCTCAATTCTGTCCATGTTCTCATTTTTCATTTTCTCCCATTTTTGAAGATCGTATTTACACATGGTCCTGAGAACTGCATCCATGTTGTGCAAAAGGCCATTCCAAATTCCATGCAAAACTTATATCCTCGTCAAGATTTCCTTTCAGGGTCCATTGCTGCAGAGATCTTGTTCTGATGCACTGACAAAGCTGAATTTCACCCATCGATGTGAAAGAATACTCACATGGACAACCAACCTTGCAGACAAAATACCCAGGTACTAATTGGGCATTGTTTTCTCAAATTTACTTCGTATACTTCATTAAAACATGGAGAGGTAAGAATTAGTGTTGATATATCAAATTACAAAAAAAATTCATCAGATTTTGGGGATTAATTTTTTTCTTCTTTTTTTTTTTAAACAAGATGCAAACTGCACCTTTAAACAAATTAATTTTAAAATTTCACCAGAACAGTGTAATTGAGTGTTTCTGTATCATTAAATGCAGGCTTATTTCAAGCATTTATGAGAAAAATATACTTTTGACTCATAGTTATGTGCTTTTCCCCCCCCAAGTATTTATAGTTAATATGAAGCAAGTACTTTTTATAAAATGTTGCTATAGTGATAATTTAATTTAATTTGCATCTACTGAAGTTTGAACCACACTACAAATTACCTTCTGCTTTACTGACTTGGAAAGCAGAACATAAGAGCTCTTTAGAAACATTTAATTTTGATAGCAATGCTGTTTTTCACAAAAAGTGGGACAGAGGTCACTGTAGTGGAAAACATGAAACAAATAATAAGGTTATTTGACACTATGCATTACTATTCCCCAGTAGCAGAGCCACTACTGTGATTAAGGTTACTACTAAATAGGTTGGTGACCAACCTAAAAATGCATGCTTTTTCTTCCACTTTCAAAATTTTATTAACAATGAAATACAATTTTGTGTCTATCAATGGAATTCACAAAATTTCTTCGTAATCCCTACTTACTGTTAAATGTTAGCATCTTTACAGAAATCTCTAAGATTATGTTAGGGCTAAAAAAATATATTAGTAAATTTACTTTTCACATGAAGTGTCCTTTACTTATACTTGGACATTGAATTTAAGCACATATTGTCATCTTTGGCACAGTTTTTGGATTTCAGATAGCTGCATTTGGAATTCAAACAAAATTTTAACACAAAAGCATACTTAGCAAATATTTTCTTTAGACTAAAATTAATACTTGACTCTTTTTTAAGCAAGTCCATTATCATTCTCCCATTTTGAAATGTTTCCAGCTTCCGTTAACACTGTCTCCTAAAAGGTACATTATTCCAGGTTTTGCACCTATCCAAGGCAGTGTGGAATCTGCTGCAAACAACATACCAACAAAAGGCACACATTTATACACTTTCACCTACATTCTTACACTAATGTGATTAACAAATGCCAAGTACATCTTACAATTAAGAAAAGCTATGTAAAGCTTTTTATGGTTGCTTATACCATGGGAAAGGTGGGGTTTTTTATATGTAACAACTAAAGCTTAATTTTGCTTGAACTTGAAGTAGTACAAGTTTTCATCATGGAATCAAAACAGGTACACGGAACTTGCTGACAGAATTCAAAAGTAACCTATCTTAGCTATTCCAAGTTAATTCAAGTGTTCTGGTGCTTGGCAGAATAGCTGTGCAACTGTGCTTCAAGCAAGTTTATCTGACTTCTGAACATCAAAAAGGATCTGAAAGGGCCTAAGGAAACTTCAGTGCCAGAAATAATTTAGGTGAAAAACAGAGATCTTGGGTCAGGAAGATTGTGATGGTATGAATCTCATGAAAAGAATTCCCTTAAATTCTCAATTTGTTCATAAACTCACCAATTGCCATGAATATTTCATTTACGTTCATAGATGTTTTGGCAGACGTCTCCATGAACAATAAGCTGTTGTCATCTGCATAAGCCTGTGCTTCCTGAAAGTTAAAATAAGAATGCATTACTTAATTTAAAAAAAAAAAAATCACACAATCATTACACATTGTACTTTTATTGCTACTAGGGAACAATTTCTATACCATTTTGAAAGAAAAAGTTTGTTGAAACACTCATGACAATGTGTTATTCATCAACTATGAGGAACTTAACAATTACTTCAAGCAGCTAAAAATTTAGAAATGTAATCTTACAAATCCTTACTCATCTTAAAAATACCCAGATGGAAAAATCTCAGGCAAAACTAAATAATCAATAAAAATATTTATTAAAAAGACAACCCTGATCTAGAACACTAGCTGTGATAGCAAGAATGAATAAGCTCCAAGAAGTGCCATAAAATGTCAGAAAGTCTATTATTACCCCGGAAAGAAGGCAGTTTGTGAACTATCTTGAATCTTTCAACTATTGAGGCAGATGGATCAGAACAGTTTCATTATCCTGATAGAAATTCACAATTATAAAGCAAATAAGCGGTATTAAATATCTTGCCACGTTATCTCCCTTTTCAGTCTGAATTTTGATCTGAAATACACTGTTTTATAAAAAGTTTCGTATTTTTGCCACTTCCTGTTAGCCAATTCAGCTGAGAATCCCCAGGTTCTTGTGGTTCTGTAACTGCCTTGGCATTCAATAGGAAATCTGCAAAAAGCCAAACTATAGAATGCCTATGATGACAAAAAAATCTACAGCATTCTCTATTCATTTAAGTGACATCAGCTAAGATCTACGTAATTGTATCTGAAATAACACATTAACCAATACCTAGAAATCTAAAGTGTGCTTTGCAATGAGAAAGGATTGTCAAGCCTGTAAGGAGCCCATAAATCCACATTAACAAAAACCCAAACATCTGAAAAATACTAAGATTGTAATTGTACAAAAAATAGTAAAGGTAGTTCTACTTTGGTAATTAAATTTGATTAAGTTTTTGACTGCACACGTGTATGAAATTTTTGTTAAATACCACAATTTTTCACAAAACACAAAGGTCTTCTGTCACACAGCTTTATGTTACAATTGACATGTAAGTATAAAATTAGAAAACCAAGTTGTTGAATTCTGGCAGAAAAATATCTAACACACTGCTAACCTTCATAGTCCAACTCTATAGTTACAAAAGGATTCATTACTATACACAGCAGTATCTCACACGGTGACACCAACTACAGATTAAAACGGTAAGAGAATTAATGACTAATAAATATGATCTTAATTCAAATTCAATCAATCATGAATGGACCAGAACCACCTGCAGTAAGTTTTATTTGGTTTGGAAGCTATTTTCTGATGACTTGGTTAAACTTTCTAGAAGATAAAATATAGCAGTGAGAGCACAGATATATCCACTAAACCAAGAAGAATGCCATGAAAAGCACAATTAAAACTTGAACACTGCTTCAACAGTATAGCCTAAGCAAGTTAAGCACATCAATCAGCTTTGTATCATGCAATAATCAAAATTCTCCTGCTGAAAAGTCAGAGAGAATGGTTTGCACTGAGAGTTACTGCTGTCTCATCCATTGAAACTCTAGTTACTGGTAATTTCGGGTAGAAGACAGGGAGATGTCACATCAAAGAACAGAAATTCAATTAGCCTTAAAGATATGCAAATAAATTAGTTATTCCTCAAAGTCAAACTTAATTATTCAAAAAAGTCTATTGCTACATATCACTTGTACAGAAATAGATTTTTCAGTAGCATGTATAATTTAACTAGTCTCAGTTGACATTTATATTTAACAGCATGACCTCTATAACAACTAACTAGGCTATGCATACAAGCTCCTCATAGGCTTATTTACTTTCTATTCCAACAAAATGCTATTTCTATAAACAGAAGTTATGTACATACCTGGAAATCCACAGCTCTCTTGTTAGCTAGATCAGCTTTGTTTCCTGCTAAAGCTATTACAATGTTAGGACTTGCTTGTCGCTGAAGTTCTTTGACCCAGTTTTTCGCTCTGGCAAACGACTCCTGTTAATGATCGCAAAATGATGCAACTGAGTTTTATCATCCTTTTGTACTCACCTATTATCTCAATCTCTGTTATCTATACTTCAAGCAAAAGGCCAACGCAAGGCTGCTACCTTTGTCCAAAGGCACACTCCAACTTGCCAACTGAGCTTTTAAAATGAAACATTCCTACCTTAGTTCTCAAATGTGCTTAGCTGGGATAATGCTGAAAAAGTAAGTAAAGATAGGAAGATCTTTATGTAGACAGAGTAAGGAAAGAGAAGCGGTTAAGAGAGAAAATAGGAATTTTAATTTCTCCTCTAGAAGAATCAAGTTTATGAACAGCTATATCAAAAGGGTCTGAAAACACTTTCTAATTACTGAGCACTGTTTATTACAGTACAGGGTTTCTGAAGGTTTTTTTGAGGATTTTGGTTTTTAAGTCTCATTTTACCAAAAACAAGTGAAGCCTATCTGATCTAAGTTCAAATAAAAAGAAATCAAATAACCTTAGGTTTTGGTCTCAATGGCTTGTGCTACCTTTCCAATCCTTACCCGTAACTTGCAATAATACAATATTAAAATAATATCTTTCACATCAGAAATAAACTGCCACCAGCAATGTGGTGAGTGTAACAGCTCAATTCTGGTGAACTGATTTAAAGGTGGGTTTGAAACACTTTTACAACAGAATTTGCTTTCTCTTTTTTTTAATACAATAAAAAACCCTAGAAATAGTCTTTTTGGCAAGAAAAGTTTACAGACACAATTTAACATTACATAGTCTAACATGAAATGAGCAACCTGACCTAGTAAAAGATGTCCCTGCCCATGGCAGGGGGGTTGGACTAGATGACCTTTAAAGGTCCTTTCCAACCCAAACCATTCTGTCATTCTATGAAATGATGAATTGATTCACTCAAGTCAGTGAGAAAAATTAAGGAAGAGATTGATGCAAGAGTGCTAACTTCCAAATCCCCCGTGTGCCTCCCTAGTACAGTACTTACCTCATTTGTAATGTCGTATACCACTATAGCTGCTTGCGCTCCTCTGTAGTACATAGGTGCTAAACTGTGGTACCGCTCTTGCCCAGCTGTATCCCAAATTTCAAATTTTACCGTTGTATCGTCGAGACATACAGTCTGGGTTAGAAAAGCAGCTACAAAAGAGACAGAGGTGCTGAAACCAGAAGTCTGCTTCTATCTCTATATTCATATAAAATTACATTCACAGAGATGCAAATATGATTTCCTTAAACAATTCAAGCCTATTATTAAAATATAGAAGGCTTGAAGCAAACATTAACTGATAGACAGTAACTCTGATTAACACAGAGCAGTTATTTAAACAACCAGTCTTTCCTCAAGTTAAAGACATAAGAAAGCAATAATTGGAAGGAATTCCTTTTTTTTTTGTAATAGTGAAACTGAGTAACCACAAGCCTTAAGTCTTCTAGATATATTTCATCCTGCTTCAACAGAATAAACAGAGTACCCGTAACAGCATCCCAATGCTATAATCCAACAGTTCAGATATTTACAGTTCTACACATTTACATTACTTGAATAGTATCTTAAAGCTTTGATTTTCAGCTTCTGACAACTCTACCTTAGCTAATGGGTTCGGAAGAAAGAATCATTTCTCAAAAGTTCTTGTTCTTAAACCAGCCATATTTTTGACTTTGCCAGTGATCAAGAATTAATTTCGGTATAATTTTGACAGCCTGCAGTTTCAGGGAAACTTGCATCCATTACCTCTACAGCTGAAAGCATTACCATAAATAATGATCTTTGAATTACAGAAAACAGTAAGTAACTTATTCCAAGTCTTCAAACAGTTACTCCTAGTAAAGATTTTTCCATTCAGATTAAGGTATATATTAGAAATACGGAGGTGAGTACCCACACAATATAGAAACCCATATTACAGAACTAAGCTAGAATTTCAAGATTTTCTTGGGGGAAAAACCACTGAAAAGCCAGATTTCCTTCTACTGGGTTGTCTTAACCCTTTGAGTTTTAACTCAGCCATCTGTTCTACCTTAGCTTTTGAAGTTTAAAAATAAGCACACAACTATTAGTGGTCTGACAAGCTGTCTTGATTACCTGCTTTATAGTCACATTGTCAGTTACAGTACATACACAGCAGAAAATGCAACAATTCCAAGAATTTAGATGAAAGTTTGAGCAATCCAGCATGAATGCTTGGAGTTGTTTTTCCAGTCATGACAGATATTTAGTGAAATACTGTGGACTGGCTTGCCCTTGCTCCTTCCACAAACAAACAACAAGAAAAAAAATTAAGACCTTCTGCTTGATGAAATGCTAAGAGAAGCCCCCTACTTGGCTGAACTGGGGACTCCCATCACTAAGCATACTGACAGATTGTGGCCGATTTAAATCAAACATTGGAAGAGGCACTGACCCATAACCCTTGCATACCTGCAATGTTACCCTGTCCCACATACTCCAAGACATCATAGCCTATGAATCATTCCAAAACTGCTGCAACTTTCAACTCAACTTATTACAGCAAACCAAAAGCAAGTCAATCTTGCTTTATAAAGGACACTGTAACTACCATACAGAAGCTGACTAGTTAAGTGGTCAGGTGTTCCTGCTTCAGGGGTATTAGCATCCATCACAGATGAGCAGGCAGGTTGGAGAAGGTAAAGGCTTTGATGTTCCAATGTTAAATCACCATAAATCTCTCTAAATGCTAAATATCCAAGCACTGGTAAAACAGGCTCCTCTTGGTAGTTCCCTAAGCAGCCCAGAACCAAAATAAAGAGAAAAAAACATACATCCTGCATCAGACTAAGGGCTTCCTCATCAGAACCAGCTCAATATTGTATTTCTCCAAGGCAGAAACAAGATGTTAAACAAGTGAAATTTGAAGTTCTTACAGACATTCTCTTCAACAGAAGAATGTACCCACGCTCCATAAATGAAGTGATGTACTCAGGAAGAGAATTATAGCAAAGGTTTTATTCTATGACATCCTCTTGTTTTTTGTTGAAAGGAACATTTCAACCACCATAAAATGCTAGTTAATTTCTGCAAACAAGGTAACTTTCTTCTTGCAAGATCTTGCAAGTAAATTGACAATTAACCAGCTGTGTTAATTATCTGAAAGCCTATCATCCTTAACAGCCATACTTTTGTCTTAAGCCACTAACAGGCATTGCTACACTAGTCTGAAGTGGCAAAGTCTAGTTATCAAACACACCAATACAATTCAACATGTCTGCCTTTAACTGCACTCTCTTTCAGATGTTTTTATTCAGATTCACAATGCACATAAGCCTCTCTTTGTTAAAAGGCCCTTCTGTGTACAAAGAAAATTATGCCTTAGGCAACTACAAGCTACAGAGTTAGACAGCTTTCTCTATAGAAAACTTTTTCGGAATCCCAACATTGCTACATTTAATATCTCTCAGCTGTATTATATGGCATTTCCTTGTTTCTATTTTATATAGAAGAGGCACAAGTTAATACAGAGATTACACTAAACTCTATATAACTGAACTTGAACTTAAGCTCTCGTTTAACTTCTGTACAGATTTTAAACGGTGTAACAGGGTTTGGGTTATCCCTAGTTCTACCCAGACACTACAACAAGAAAAAATAAAAAGCAGGTTAAGTGAATTGGAGATCACTGAAATTGAACAATGAATTTCACTTAATTTTAACAGTGTTTTTTTTAACCAAAAAGCACATTGATATTGGGAAGTTAATTCACTATAGATCTTTGAGAATGCTCTCCATATTACCACATAGCTGTATGAGATAATACAGAAACCCTTCACACTAACACTTATCCTAAAGCCATTAGAAAATGCACAAAGCCAAAAGTGAGCATTAGTAAGACTGCTAACGAAGAAAAAAAAAGTGGGTCTCCATTTATGCTGACAGATATACAAAATACATGTAACAGCTAGAAATAGGGTAAAAAAAAAGATGCAATGAAATTCAGCTTGTATTTATTTTTGTAAGCTTTGTAGATTTTTTACATTTCAACAACTGTTCATGTGTAAAGACACATACAGACCACTGAAAGGGCTTCACATAAATATTACAATGAAACAGACTGATTCATGCAAGCAGCAACAGGGAGAATATTTATCAATCCATAAAATCCGTATTTTATTGAAGTCTGTATGCCATTAGGTAGTTTTAGGATAATTTCTTCTTGCAAGATCTTGCAAGTAAATTGACAATTAACCAGCTGTGTTAATTATCTGAAAGCCTATCATCCTTAACAGCCATACTTTTGTCTTAAGCCACTAACAGGCATTGCTACACTAGTCTGAAGTGGCAAAGTCTAGTTATCAAACACACCAATACAATTCAACATGTCTGCCTTTAACTGCACTCTCTTTCAGATGTTTTTATTCAGATTCACAATGCACATAAGCCTCTCTTTGTTAAAAGGCCCTTCTGTGTACAAAGAAAATTATGCCTTAGGCAACTACAAGCTACAGAGTTAGACAGCTTTCTCTATAGAAAACTTTTTCGGAATCCCAACATTGCTACATTTAATATCTCTCAGCTGTATTATATGGCATTTTCTTGTTTCTATTTTATATAGAAGAGGCACAAGTTAATACAGAGATTACACTAAACTCTATATATCTGAACTTGAACTTAAGCTCTCGTTTAACTTCTGTACAGATTTTAAACGGTGTAACAGGGTTTGGGTTATCCCTAGTTCTACCCAGACACTACAACAAGAAAAAATAAAAAGCAGGTTAAGTGAATTGGAGATCACTGAAATTGAACAATGAATTTCACTTAATTTTAACAGTGTTTTTTTTAACCAAAAAGCACATTGATATTGGGAAGTTAATTCACTATAGATCTTTGAGAATGCTCTCCATATTACCACATAGCTGTATGAGATAATACAGAAACCCTTCACACTAACACTTATCCTAAAGCCATTAGAAAATGCACAAAGCCAAAAGTGAGCATTAGTAAGACTGCTAACGAAGAAAAAAAAAGTGGGTCTCCATTTATGCTGACAGATATACAAAATACATGTAACAGCTAGAAATAGGGTAAAAAAAAAGATGCAATGAAATTCAGCTTGTATTTATTTTTGTAAGCTTTGTAGATTTTTTACATTTCAACAACTGTTCATGTGTAAAGACACATACAGACCACTGAAAGGGCTTCACATAAATATTACAATGAAACAGACTGATTCATGCAAGCAGCAACAGGGAGAATATTTATCAATCCATAAAATCCGTATTTTATTGAAGTCTGTATGCCATTAGGTAGTTTTAGGATAAGTTTAAATTTCTCCAAGGAGGAATACAGTTCAAAGCACAAACAACTTCACCATATAATATAACAAGAAATCTGCTGGGGGGGGGTGTGGGATAAAATCAGTTCACAGTTAAAAAGATTTTTTTTTTTTTTTTTAATTCTAGTAGCCAGCACCTGTTTTGTCTGAAGTCACAAAATGTAAAAACAGCACATTAAATTCTGTGATTACTAACAAAGAAAGGTGTATCCAGAAATGCAGCAAGTTCTCCCAAATCAAAAGCAAAGCCAGGATGCATAAATGACAACACAACCTTTTTGGAAGATGCAGCACTTTGTTTTCATAGAAACTAAGTTCTTAATTCTTATTAAGCAGTTATTTCATGCATTAAGCATAGAGCACGATTAAAACAGCCACACATCCACCCACAAAATGTAACATCAAGCCCAGATTTCAAAACTGTGCAGTTCAAGCACACATTTGCTTTCTCCGCTTGACATGGATGTTTGCTACAACCTTGTGCCAACTACAACTTTTGGCTTAGGAAGTTATGGTTCTCAATTAGAGACATAGGGCTCAGCTTTGATCCTTGCTGTCAATGACCCATTCTAAAAGTGCCATTACATTCAAGGTTGTCAAGGGCAAGGACAATATAAACTCAACGTGAAACAAATTAACAGGATAATTTTCTTACCTCCAATTGTACTTTCTTGAAACTCATGAAACTGTCCTTTTACAAAACGAAGCACCAAACTTGATTTGCCAACTGCAGACTCTCCTAAAAGTACTAGTTTGAACTGGCAAATTTTATTTCCAGCATTTGGCCCATTGGGTCTTGTTGCACCTCGATTAGCCATGCCCAAATTAGAAAGAAGTCCTTTGTTTCAAGCTCTTGAAAGCAAGTTCCAGGATTCAGATCTCAGTGATGCTTCTGCCAGTAACAACCTGTTTATGAAAAGACAGTGGGTGGTATTAGATTTATAAACCAAGTAAGAAAAATCTAATTCGCTAATGCAACATGGATTACATATAACTTGTCCTAATATTTACCAAAGTCAATAGTCCAGCGTACAGCTACCATTGCTGTCAAGATGTCAACTATAGACAAAATCTATGACAAATGAACCAATTTTCTTCAATACCTAGTCTTCCCATTAAAGCTTCAAATTAGGACATTAAAATCTAATTATGTTTCTTCTTGCAAGACTTCAGTCTCTTATTTCTTAACATATCAAGATTGAAGTATAACACAACAGAGTCAGACTTTCACATTATTCGTAAAATATCAAATTACAAGAAATAATTTTTTTCCATAATTTTGCTATTGCTAAGCAATATTCCGAAGTCAGCACCACTAAAGGATGCTAAAAAATTGAGCAAATTGGGAAAACTCAATCACCACATCAAGTTCTTTGCAAGTATACTTCATCAATTCACTTCTATCACATATATCAAATGCAATTTCCTTAAATAAAAGTACAGAAGATCTTGACATACAAATTATTAATACCTTCTCTAGTTAACAATTGTACTTTGAGGAGCAAAAATCCAAAGCCTTCCATATGTAGAAAAATGGATTGCCTTGACCAGTAAGAATTCCAGATCACTTTGTGCAAGCCACCAGAGAACTATCATATGATGATAAATTGCTATTTCCAATACTAACACATGCCCTAACAGATCAATATTCACAGAGATCTTTGTTAAGAACAAGTATGAATAGTGTATTGCTTAGTCTACCTACTCTTCTTTCAAACTCCTTAAAATACAATATTTGTTCATATGGACAGGGAAGCCTTAAGCCTCTGCTGGTATCACTTCTGAGCCTAAGATTTATGCTTTTACACACTTAACAGTAGATATTAAATCTTTTTGCAGGTAGGCAGTGCTGTATGAAAGACTGGCATAATGATTTTCTGTATTCTTTTTCCTCCCGGTTCCCAAAACAAAGTTCCAAGTGAACCCACAGGAAATATACCTAAGTGATGGTGACTCAGCTCTCAGCGAGAGAAACATCTGCTTCTGTTTTTCTGCTAAAAAACCCCCAACAAACCAACACCCACCCACC